TATTTATTTATTTTTTTTTTCTTTTGTATCGTTTAAAGATACAGTTTTAAAATGTTTCACAATGTATAAACACTTTAAGCATTTTTTAATACTTACAAATAATATTTTTCTTTAACATTTAAAAATAGATTTAAAAAACGTATTTTTATAAATAGCACAAAATAAATATGTACTCGAACTAAATTAGATCGCTTAATTGTAAGCTCACATGTGTATTTTAGACCTTTTTTAAAGTAATCGAAAGTGCAGGGTATTACCAGCTCGTAAATATATGAGTACATTTATGTTTGTATGTACCTACATATGTATGTATCTAGTACATAGGTATATTGCTTGTTTTAAATCGTGAAATATTTTTTTCGGCTCGCAATTTGAAACGTTTTTTGGAAGAAAGCAATAGGTCGCTCTTGCTTTCAGCTGACCGTCAGCGAATCGTCGCGAGTCGCGAGTCGCGTTTCGCCTCTGATCGGATCGGAACAGTTGTTGTCGAGCAGGCGTTGCGGTTACGACACTCAATCAAGTAGCCGCAATATATTTACATTAACGGGCGTGAGAGCGTATCGGCTGCTTCTCCAGTTGAGATGCAGAGCTGGCTAAAAATTTCTCTGCTCTTGTGTCTGTTCGGTTTCTTTCGCGAGCTGAGACCCTCGGAACCCTTTGTCACCGAGTATTTGGCTGGCGATTGGGGCAACGTGACAACAGAGCAAATCTCTCAAGATGTTTATCCCTTTGGCACCTATGCCGTGCTCGCCCAATTGGTGATCGTGTTTCTCATTACGGATCTGCTGCGCTACAAGCCGATTATTGTGCTCTCCTCGATAGCTGGCATAATTTTGTTCTCGTTTCTACTGTGGACGGACACTATCTTTGAGCTGCAGTTGGCACAGCTATTCTATGGCTTCTTCACCGCCGCTGAGGTGGCCTATTACACATACATGTATGCGAAAGTGGATCGGGAACGCTATCAAGTGGTCACCGGACATACGCGAGCCGCGATTTTGGCTGGCAAATTTCTCGGTGGCGTGATTGCCCAGCTGCTCGTCTCCACGGACAGTATGAGTTTTCGTGGCCTACATTTCATTTCGCTGAGCACGCAGGTGATATCGCTGGTCATCTCAGTGCTGCTGCCAAGTGTGCCACGAAGTCTCTACTTTTACTCCACTAAAACGCATCATTCAGAGGCAAAGGCTGTTGTATTAGTTACTACGGACGAAACAGCTCCAAAGTTCTCTTTGAGCAATGCTGGTCGCCTGCTATGGTATCATCTCGCCTCCTCGTATACGAATCCTGTGGTGCTTCTGTGGAGCGTCTGGTGGGCTTTGGCCATTTGTGGACAAATACAGGTCATATCCTACATACAATTTCTGTGGAAGGAGCTGGCGCCCGAAAAGCAGAGTAATTACAATGGCGGAGTCGAAGCGGTGGCCACCCTGCTGGGCGCCATTGGAGCCATCCTGGCTGGCATGTTGAACAGCAATAGCAAACGCAGCTTCTACATGCTGATCAATTCCATTTGTGTCGCTGTTCTGGGCGCACTTTTACTGCTAGCGGCGTGTGGCAATAGCGTTTGGCTGGCCTACGTTAGCTACGTGATCTTCTGTGCCGTGTTCTTCTTCATCATCACAGCGGCCGCTGCCATAGTGGCCGAGAACCTGGTGGACGACAGCTTCGGCCTGATCTTTGGCATCAATATGCTGGTGGCACTGGTACTGCAAACCATTTTAACCATTGTCGTAGTAACGGGTAAGTAACAAAATTAAAGTAATTCCTATTCAATTTCCATAGCTAATACTTTTTATAAATATTTTTCCAGACACCGGATTTGGTCTGCCTCCAAAAACGCAGTATATTGTGTACGGCGGCTATTTCATTGTCTTGGGCGCAGCTTATTTGCTGCTACAGCTGTTACTTAAGATATTTGCAAAAAAATCTCCTGCAATAAATGCGTCTTGAATATCCATAATATATTTTGAATTTGTTTGTTTACTTTTCATACCGAACATATGTTTTAAGCAAACGAGAACTTAAAATGTCACTGTTACATTACTATTATTAACAGCAATTAGTTATTTAATAAAAATCAAGTCTTTCCAAAGTAATATAGAAGTCCTTCCAAAATAAATGTGTTGAATAATAAGTATAATAATTTGACTTAATAATCATTTAAAATATGACGACTTTCATAAAATGTACCAGAAAACGGTCACAAATACAGCATTACAGCGATCAGCTGTTTTTTTATAACATATGCAAAATTTCGCTGTTGCAAAATAGACAAAACCGATATGCTACTGCAGCCCTGGCTCAGACGCAATCGATGCTGTAATCGTAAAAACCAAAACAAAGTCGAACGCCTTTCGGTCTACGCGATTTCGCTATCTTTGCATGGGCAGCTAAGAATACAAGTACGTTTGTTTTAATGAGTATAAAGAGAGTTGTTTATACTTAAGTAGTACAGATATGCATATATATGTAAGTGCGTATAAAGTGCAGGTCATTAGGGCGAATGTGACTCACTCAAAAACAACTTGCAGCTGATTACGGTTGAATATCGTGTTTTTAACTGTGTGTGTGTGTATATATATATGCGTTGTGTGTGTTTGGCCTTAAGTAATTATTTGTGCTCTTTCTTCATTTTGTAGAGTTGCGGTTAAGAATATTCAAATAGCTGACAAATGAGTAGTGAAGCCTCATTACTGCCTCCTGCTGTGGCCACCTCCCCCATAGCCGCTGCATCTGCCTCAAATACCTTAACTGAGTCTATCTCGAATACAGATTTTTACATTGGCGTCGGCTTAGCCATTTCATCATGTTTCTTTATTGGCTCCAGCTTTATAATCAAAAAGAAGGCGCTCTTAAGGCTTAGCAGACATGGCGAAGTGCGCGCTGCAGCTGGAGGATTTGGCTATCTGCGTGAATGGATTTGGTGGGCGGGGCTGCTAACAAGTGAGTCATAAACGGAAAATTCTTATATCGCTATACTCATTTAATATGCTTTCAGTGGGTCTTGGGGAAGCAGCCAATTTTGCTGCTTATGCCTTTGCGCCCGCCTCGCTAGTCACGCCTCTAGGAGCACTCAGTGTAATCATCTCTGCGGTTATGGCATCGCGTTTCCTTAATGAGAAGCTCAACTTGTTGGGCAAACTTGGTTGCTTCTTGTGCATATTGGGCTCTACGATTGTGGTGATCCACTCGCCGAAGGAGAAGGAAATCGAGGACCTACAAGTGTTATTCGAAATGCTACAGGATCCAGTTTTTATACTCTACATAATTTGTATATTTGGCTCATGTGCATTTATCGCCTGTTTCGTGGCTCCACAATATGGACACACAAACGTTTGTGTCTATCTATTCGTCTGCTCCGGAATTGGGTCCTTAACTGTAATGTCCTGCAAGGCTTTAGGCTTGGCCATCAGGAGTACGATTGCCAATGGCTCAAATGTGTTTAGCACTTGGATGCCATGGTTCCTCATCGTCGTCACAGTGACCTTTATAGCCATCCAAATGAACTATTTGAACAAGGCACTGGATATATTCAATACGAGCATCGTGACTCCCGTTTATTATGTGATGTTCACCACCTTGGTGATTACGGCATCTGCCATACTACTCAAGGAGTTCAGCAAGATGCGTTTCGAGAATATCCTCGGCGATGTTTGTGGCTTTTTGGTGATCATCATCGCTGTGTTTATGCTAAATGCATTTAAGGATATTGATATTACTTTGACTGATGTTCGTGGCCTGATGCGCCCCAAGATGCAACGCCTCTCGCAATATGATGAGGAGGTCCTTGTCAGTACTCATTTAAAGGAGCGTCGCTATTCGTACGGCTCCAGCGATGTCTTTCGCAAGGCCTGACATAAGCAGCGCTATCAAGTTTAGTTATTCCCCATAGCAAAAGCTTGAACAAAAATTGAAATTGCAATCCAAACAAAGAACACGAACTCCCATATCATTCGCATTTATCATTAAATGTTCCTTCACTCACATTTCGTTAAGTCTTAGCGTTATAAGAATATTGTTTACAAGTTGAAAAGTGCGATCAGTTATTATTTCTTTTTAGGCATATTCAAAACATTATTAAAATTGTATATACCCTTGCCAATTTCTGTTTGTTTTAATCCTTAATAAAACGAATCTTTTTTAACTTACCCATACTTTAATCAAAATCATTTAGATTTTACAAATCAACAAAGCCATAGCTGCATTTCAAACTAAATTATTTTGCCGGGCTTTTAATTTCGAAGATCATTGATAACAAAAGCAATCGAAAGCGCCTCCGTGTGAATGGCAGAGCTGCCAAAATCACAATTTGAAATTGTTTATTGCAGTGACATGATAAAATGATATGTGAAATCAAATATTTATTCTTGGTTTAATTTTTTAGTTAAACTTTTATAGCTTTTATTATAATTTAGCCAACAATAACGCGCATCTAGTAAGGTTTGCTTATATATAAATATCTCCACATCGAACAAATTTTAGTAGCTTTTTAAGTCTACAGCTTATACAACCAAATCAAAAAATGTAAATAAAATTTTTTGTTAGTCCGATTTTAAATTTCGGCAATAGTCGGTGGCGATAACAAACTGCCGCGTTTCACTGTGAATGGCAGGGCTGCTAATTAAACAATTTATTTCCACAGCTATATACATATATACTCGTGGAAATAATTTAAACATTAGGCAGCAACTGTGAGCAGACCGAAAAATGAGTGCCTTACGTTTTGGATTTGCGCGCTACGTGGTGAAATGTCCATTCGGCAATCGATGGAACAACCTCGTTAGGGCTGCAACAATGGCGGCTGTCAATGGGAATGCCATTAGAGGAGCCGCAACGAAAGCAACTTGCAAAACTTTTGTCATTTTACAACGAGCTTCGCCCGTGCTCATATCGTTGCGCAGCTTTTCATTCAAATCAGTCACCAGCCTAATGGAGGAGAATTGTATTGTGCCCGATGTCATTTGCAAGGCACCCAAGTCCGTTGTTTCAATTGAATATGACGGCGGCATTTGCGTACAGCCCGGTGTGGTATTGACCCCCACTCAAGTGAAGGGTGAGCCCCGTGTCAAATGGGAAGCCGATCCTTCCAAGCTGTACACCCTGTGCATGACCGATCCGGATGCACCGAGCCGCAAGGATCCGAAGTTCCGTGAATGGCATCACTGGCTTGTCGGCAACATTCCCGGCAACAACGTGTCCAAGGGTCAGGTGCTCTCGGCCTATATTGGCTCCGGCCCGCCACCAGACACCGGATTGCATCGATATGTATTTTTGGTGTACGAGCAACAGTGCAAGCTGGACTTCGACGAGAAGCCGTTGCCGAACAACAGCGGCGATGGACGCGGAGGCTTCAAGATTGCCAAGTTTGCTGAAAAATACAATTTGGGCGATCCTATTGCCGGAAATTTCTATCAGGCCGAGTATGATGACTATGTCCCCATTCTCTACAAGCAGTTGGGTGCTTAGAGGCATATGTACCCGAGGCATTTGTATGGATTACATAATGTGGGAAGGGAGTTCTTTATGAATTGTTAATTAGAAACTGATATTGTAATTGAATATTGGCAATAAAGATGCATTTAGCATAAACTTTTTTTTGAATTTTTTAAATTTTATATGCTATTGACCTATTGTAGTTTCAGCTCGCCGCAAGACAGCGGATTACATTAATACATATTTTTGATCTACGAGCAAAAGTCCGTCCTAGACTTCGACGAGAAAACGTTGACAAACAACAGCTGCAATAAATGCAGAGGCTTGAGGATTGCCGAATCTTTATCCTTTACAAGCTATTGAGTGTTTAGAAGCATATGTAACTAAAGCATTTGTATGGATTACATAATGTGTGAGGCGAGCTTCTTATAAATGGTTGATTAGAAACTGATATTGTAATTAAAAGATGATAATAAAGATACATGTAGCATACATATTTCTAAAGATTTTCAATTTTACATAGATCACAAGTGCACAGAAATGCACCGTTAATAGTGATCATAAAATAGATACTGTATTTAATATCGATATTTCGCGAAGGCTTGGGGAAAATTTTATATTGCGATACTTGCAAACATCGGCTAATTACCATACTAAATAATAAAAATTTTTATGATCTATTTCACAATTTCGGTGAAGTGGACTTTGATAATTATGTGATCTATTATGATCTATTTGTCTAGTAATTTCTGTGACGTGGGCTTTAATGAATATGTGCTTATGTAAACACCTATTTGTCTTTAATTATTTACATATATAGCAGATGTACTACATTAAATTTTCACCTGTATATATTATATACTGTGGCGATATGACATTATTTTTTAATTTGAAATCGATTCCGAAATTGTGAAATTCAATTTAAGCTATAATTTTCTAATCTCAGCATTTCAAATGAGTTGCGGTTTTATTGCGTGCAACTGTACTAATGTTTTTGTTGTTAGAGATGCCAAATATAAATACGATATTCGGAGTAAAGGCATTTTGAAAATATCGCTAATATTTATAAGCCAAAACTTTGATTCAAACTCTTTACTAACATTTTGACGAAGATAACATTAGATTTTAATATACAAGTGTATTTTCAACGGAAGAATTTAAAAACACAAACGAACAAATAATTCCGTTTTATATTAATGAACTAAGCTCTAAATATTTTTATTTTAAAAATGATTTGGCTAAAGCAAAGAATTCAAATGTTCAAAGCTTAACGACTGTTTGGATATTCTCGATACTCGACTATCTTAAACAGATGCGGATTATCGATACTTCTAATACGATCTCCATTTGTTGAGCTTATTAAAGCAAATTTACGATCTAAGCAATTATATATGTGTAAAATACAAGTTCTCAAAATTTCCTTGTCTTCAAAGTAAAATCGTTTACTATTTAATGTATGCATTTATTTATTCATTCTCAATCTACAAATTTTTGCTTATGGGTGGACACATAAAAATCATTTATATATGTATAATCAAATTTATATCAACTTGGGTTTCAAAATGCATACAGGTGTAGAATTTGCTTTAAGATGATAAAGGTGCAGCGGACTCTAAAGTTGGGTACTGCTGTTTGTGTTCCGGCCATTCCACCTCGCTGATGGCCTGGCAAAGAGAAATGGAAATGTTAAGAGAATATAATATTTTTCCATCGAAATATTTATTTCATACCTTCAACTCGTCGAATGCCTGCTTGGCTATCCAATGGAATAACGGATTCTTCCAATCGCGTGCTATGGCCTGCAGCTCTTTGACTCCAGTTTCCGTGGACGGCGACGAAGTCTTTGAGATTTTCTTATACTGAGCCCACAAATAGATCATGCTGCGCATTTTGTAAGTCCAAAATTCATTTGGAACCGTTCGTATCATATTCTGAACCTTCTCGGTATTGGGCATCTTGAGGTTCTCCAAAAATGTGATATTCATTAGTGTAAATATGGACTTCATATTATTGAAATAATTGTCCGAATTCTTTTGCAATGCAAATTGGGCTTGGTTAACAATAACGTCGACCACCTGTTCAGTGGTCAGACGTGGCAAATCAGGTATAAAGCAATTGCGCAAATTAACGCTGCCAAAGGTGGCCAGTTCCTCCTTGATAGCCTCCTCGCACCACTTGTAATCTGTCCACCAGCTCTGCCACGATGTATATTTCTTGGCCTCCTCCTTGATGGCCCACTCGTAGTGCAAACGTTTGCGAATGCGTTTCACCAAGGTGCGTCCAGCATTTTTGCCTTCCTGCTCGTAATCCTGACTCTCAGCCATTGCCTCATCGTCCAGCTCTTCGCCGCTTGTACTATAATTGGGCAACTGTTCGAAGAACATAATCGCATACGATTTATCCTCGGGCTGAGGCAACGCTACTTTCAGGTTATTAATATAGGGCAGCTTAAAGCCGCCGATCAAAAATCCACGCTTAATTGCGAGCTTGCGACGCTTGATATCCGCCTTGGTCAGGGGCGCAGGAGCTAGCTCAGCCACACGCTTTTGAGCTCCAACTAAAAGGAGATATATATAGATTAGATATGCATTATATATAAGTATTTAATATCATCGCATACCTTTAACAATAGTTTTCTCTGCTGGCTTCTGTGCTTCAATCTCTTTTTTGTTGTTGTTACTGTTGTTGTTAATGCCTTTCGCTTGAGTATTTGGGGCAGCATTGGGCGCATTCGGCTTGGGCGGCATATTAACGGGTTTCGGTTTGCCGCCATTGACACTCACATTCTTAACTGTCGATACATTCCTATTAACAAATTGTCTTTGAGGCAGCGGCTGCGGCTGCGGCTGCTGTTTCTGTTTTTGTTGTTGTTGCTGCTGCTGTTTCGGTTGTTGTTGTTGCTGCTGTTTCGGTTGTTGTTGTTGCTGCTGTTTCGGTTGTTGTTGCTGTTTCGGTTGTTGTTGCTGCTGCTGTTGTGGATTGAACTGCTTGTTACGTGCAACATTGGGCAACTGTGGCTTGTTATTATAATTGATATTGTTGCTGTTAATTTGTCTGGGAGCACGTCCCCCTCCTTGTCCTTGTCCTTGTCCTTGCCCTAGCCCCTGATTGGGAAACGGTGGCCTATTGCCCATGGCAGCTTGATTAGGCTTGGGAATCGGCGGTCCACTAATATTTGCAGGTCCATTCCATTTATTGTTGCGATTGCCGCCGCCAATCGGTTTACCCGGTCCAAAGCCATAATTGTTGTTGCCCACTTGCCAGTTCGATTGGTTCTTCATCAAAGCATTGACCGTTTCCAACACTGCCAAAGTATTGCCAGCGGAACCAGAGTTGTTCGGACCGCGATAGTTGCCCGGCCCATTGTTCTGGCTGTTATTGTTGTTATTGTAAAATGATTGTGGATTGCTGCTGTTGCTGCTATTGCTGTTATTGATTTTGTTGTTGTCAAAGTTTAAGCCATAATCGTTGGGCGGTTGTGGCCCACGAAAGTCGTTATTAAAATTGCGATCATTAAAATTGTCAAAGTTTCCAGTATTATTGGCACGCCCATACGGTGCTGCCGGGCGATCATTGTTGAACTTGAAATTGGAGCCAGTGCGGCTCACATGATTCGAGTCTTGGCCACCGCCACCGCCACCGCTGACGCCACTGAAGGTATCGCGCCTAAATGTGTCCAAGTTGCGATCATTATTGTAAAAACGTGATGGAGTGTTGTCCGATTTGTTGTTGATGTTGTTGTTAGTGTGAATGTTGCTGTAATTAAGATCGCTAATGGAACGAGTTAGGCCCAAATTGCTTGGCAGCTGTTGTTGTTGATGCAGGGGCCCACGATAATTATCAGAGCCAGACATAGAAACAGAGTTTGATCTTGGCTCAAAAGAGCGGCCAAGGAAATTTGAATGCGACTGCGACTGCTGCGGCTGTAGTTGTGGCTGTTGTGGTCGAAACTTATCGTCAAAGCTACTCTTGATCGGTGCAAGACTGCCATGGCTATTGCTGTTGTTAAAACGTTGATTGTTATTAGAATAATTTGAGTAGCCGCCGCCGCCACCACCGCTGATGCCGACATCGGTAGAACGTCCAAAAGTGTTTGATTGCATGCTGCCAAATTTGTTGTTATCGTTATCGGAATAACGCTGATTGTTGCCAAATTTGATGCTATCAATTTCAGAAAATCTTTGATTATTAAAACCAATTCCGCTGTTGCTATTGTTAAAACTATCCGTGCGACCATAGTTCATTGGACGACGGAAATTGTCGTCGACTGCACTGCCACCACCGTTGCCGCTGATGTTACCGCTGCCACCGCCGCCGCCGGCACCGCTGCCACCACCACMGCCGCGAATTGGCGCAAAAGACGATGCATCATTGGGCTGACGACGCTGGCCAATGCCGTAGGCGCTGTATCTATAATCCATAGCTAATTGCTCACAAATTCGTTTATTTGTTGGCAATTACGCGTCGAGAACGTATAATGTAAACGGCAATATTTTTTTTTCGTAACTTTTTAACTAATTTCTTTTTACTTGATGCCGTTCGAACTTGTAATATTTTCACATTTGACAGACACGCACACGCACAGGCACACATATATCCAAACGCACAAGCTCACATATACAAAGCAGTGCTGTCAAACGTCAAAATGCGCTACATCGAATATGAACTGATTCAAAAACTATTCGTGACAGTTCACTGTTCTGATTCATTTTATTCTTAAATTAATCATTCAATCTATTTCTAATAAATATTCTCATATTTTATTCTCATTTTTCAATTTAGAATTTCCAAATTTTTTAAATTTAGGATCGCTATTTTTTAAAGCAGTTCGGATTTACTGTTTTATAATTTTGGTGAGACTTGGAACTAAATTCATGTTTGTAACCACTAATTCATGATTGTAACAGACACAACCAGGGCTGAATAACTGTCAGTTGCAGGTAAAATAACATACTTACAATGTCAGGTAGAATACATACATTCACATAACCTGGCTAGCCAAATCTTTATTGTATTTGAGAGAATATCTCTTCATAAAATACCAAGAAAAGAGTATTTTTTTTTTTAATTTTAAATATTTCCGAAACATAATCTTAATATAAAGATATATTTCTCATCAATTACCTAAAATGACTATACTAGGCATAAAAAACATTTTTGTAGCGAAATTATATTAAATTTCGTTTATTAACAAGTCTGCTCTCGAAATGCTACACTGCTCATCATTTTTGTATTTCAGAGTCAAGCTTTAATGATTGACTATTTGGAGAACAGATGCGGACAGAAGCGCGCTGACGAAAAGAGAGTTGCTGACCCTAGTGAAAGGATGCGTTTGGGTAAAATAAACATCATGTTTCAAATTTAAGTTGCATTGCTTTATTTTTATTATTTTTTACATTTCACATTGAAGTAATTTATTTGTTAATAGCTAAGTGCATTGAATGCCGCTTTGTGGTGTAATGACCGGAATACGAATTTGAAGCATCTGTAAAAATATAAATAAATATTAGTGTTTCAATTAATTATTTAAATAAATTATAATTTAAGGTTTATACCTTGCTTGTTTTATCAAATAGCGCCTGCGCACGCTCCTGATTGAGGCGATATTTGACAAATGTATCAAATATATAGCCATGTTTCAAGGACTCAACCAAAATGCGATCTTCGCCTACATCCAAGCTGAACTCTTGGGATGAAACCTGGTTGGAGCAAGGTGAAATAAGTGATTATTTTTTAAATTATGCGGGGGCAGTCTAAACGATTAGGATTTAAACTTTTCAATCTTAAAATATATGGAATAGCGTATATAAAACGCTGTACTCACGCAATTGGGTAAATAAAGCTCGGCATGAATTTCGTCGACATTCTCATCGCGGATTCGGGCGCGTAGCTTATAAAGCGGCTGATGATTTTTGGTCCAGTTGTTACGAATAGTTGCAGCATGCTGCTCATCAATTTCCTGCACTAATTTCGAAGGCTTTGTGGATGTGGACGTGGATGGCTCCGCTGTATTTTTGTTTCCCGAAATTGCTCTGCCAACTGCGTCAGGTGTACCACATGCACCGCTTGCTCTTTGCATATCCTCGTTTCTCACACGATGCGCCACCAAAGTGCCGATAAATTTGCGATTACTCAATATTATTGTCTTATCCATCGTTATTTGTACATTGTATTTTTCGCTGAGCGCTTCGGCAACGATTTGCAAAAAGAAATTGTTGAAGAGTTGCGATTTTTTTATTTTTGTCAAAAAGTTTGGATTTATTGCTATGTCGCACACTTCTACGGAGTTATTGGAGCGATCTTTGGTATGACGTATCTCCGAAATGCTCATTGGGACGCGAAACGATCCGGGCGTCGTTGATTCCAATATACTTATTAGCTCGCCATCGGATATATCTTTGGGTCCAGGCACTTCCGGTGCTTGGCAAACGTTTATGAAGAACTTTTCATCGCTGTTGATCTTAAAGCTCTTCACACAGAAACCTGATCAGATTGACGAATTCAGAAAATTGTAACTAATTAATAATTGAATTGATCAAAAATTTGTTTGAAAATTAATTTACCTCAAATAAAGAAATGTATTTTCTATCAGATTATGTTGAATAAATAAATAATTTAAAAAAATATGTCATTTTCATACGATTAATGTTCTGTTGATACAAATCATTTTCGCTTATAATAACCGTTTCGCCTACGATTAGTATATTGTAATTTGTAATCGCTCTCGATAACTGTCGATACCTTTCCAATTCACTTTATTGCGCTCGTTCAAGCCTGAAGCTTTTATAAAGTTGCATGCATAATTTTAGGCATCGACGGCTTTTGGGATAGAATCAAAAAACGATGAGACGTTGAGAGAGACGAAAAGAGTTCGAAACAGCAATTAAAGCTCGTCTCATTGTAAAGAGAGACAATACATACATATGTACATATGTGCTTGTGTGTTTGTTTTTGTTTTTTTCACCCGTTTATATTTCTTTTAAGTTGAGCATATGTATGTTTATTGGATGTGTTATGTCTCTGTAAACAATTGTATACTATTGCCTGTCACATCAAATAAAGTTTGTATCTTTTTAAATATGATTCAATAGACACTGTTATTCCCCTTAACTATTATTCATAAAAAGCCTATACATGTGCGTATGTATGTATGTATATGGTCGGCAAACGTTTGCTCGCGAAATCATCATTAACTCTTTCTATCTTGCTCTTATCAACTAACTCTCTTGGAGGCCTTCCACACTATCTATTCGCGCGCGTTAAATTGCTAATGGGCAATGACTAGCCAAATGCAAAAATTGCTATGCATGTTTGTATGTGAGTCTGTGTGTGGGTGTCTGCTCATCTGCCACACGTTAAGTTAGCAAGGGTGGCCAGCAGGCTGCTTGGGCTTTTTATGCCGGCATAGCTTGTCGCGCCGATCAAACAAAAGAACACAGCGTGAAAGAGAGCGAGAGAGGGCATTTGTGGATGTGTGAGAGCTTGCACATTTTGTCTTCTATCAAGTTTGCCTTCTGCTACATTAGTATTGGTCAGAGAGCTAACCGACCGCTATCGTATCAAATAGAAACAAATAAGTTGCGCTGGTTTGTGCGTTTGGTATTCAGTTGCTTCTGTCGCTCGACACGGACCGGTCGAAAGGAACACCCGAAAATAGAAATAACGAAAAAAGTTATCAAGTTGTATTTAAGTCCGATTAAATTTGCCGAGGTAATTATAAGTGGTTTTTTATTGTGGTTTGTGTGTGTTTGTTGTCATTGTTGCCGTTGTAGTTGTTATTGTTATTCGGTTGGCTGCAAGCGTAACAAGTGCGATGAAAAGTTATTTGACACACATTGTGAAATGCTCTCTACGCGTATTCTAGAAGGGCTTTATAAGTGTTGTAAATAATAAATTCTAACGATTTTGAATGAATCATTTAAAAAAATTAAATTTGATAATAAACAAATTGTTTTTGTTCGGCCATGCTCAATGCCGATTTATAATTGATTGAATCGAACAAAAAAAAGAAAAACAATTAAATGAATTATATGCATAACATGTATTCGTATGCGTGTGTGTGTGTCTGTGCGCGTGTACGTTATGCTGTGATCAGCTAAAACAGTTAGCATAGTTTTTAGGCAAGACTTTAGACGATGACGTCAGTGAAGCTCAACAGAAGCTCGAGCGTGCTGCCGAAAAAAGGGTCCTCGACATAGAGAGAGAGAGAGAGTGTGGATGAGAGACACTGTACGCACACACTCATCCAATCTGTTATAAACAAGCGCGATAAGCATTTAGAACAATAAAATTATAAAGTGCAATTGAAAACTAAAGCAACAGTAAATAGAAACAATACACGCGAACATCTATGTATATATGTATGTATGTCTATAACAGTAGTTTTATTGTTGCACACACATATATATGTACATCTATGACAATTATGTATGTATGTGTTTATTGGGCAAGTACGGGTACTTGGATTTGCGATTGATAACAACGCGTTGCCACTCACGTTTCACCACTTCGCCACTTCGCCACTTGAAAGATAATGAGATAATTGGAATATGCGCAATCCTGTCAAAGGACACCATGAACGAAAACAATGAATTCAACAGTCTAGATAACGATAGACAAGTGTGCTGCGATAACATTCAAAAGACAATTATAAATATCCAAAAGAAAACTCGTGCATGCGACTGGGAAATACCCTGTCTAAATGTTTAACCAGTGTTTGCTTAATGAATGTCAGTGAAAAATACTAGTTAAATGTGTGTGAACAGTTTAAAATGAGTTGGGCCTCGTAGCAGTGAAACTGACAACAATGTAGGATGACTTCCATTTAAGAGTTTATGGCCTATATAAAACAGATAAATACAATATACTCTCTATGGAATTTCGTCTACAGGGCACACGAGTTATTTATTGCATATATGTATCATATATCTTTTCAATGTTCTTTTCAATGGAACCTATATCTTGTATATGCAAAGTATACTGAACTTTGGTTTTTGTTACTTTATTTTTATCTTTTATTTTATATTGCGGTTTGCCCTTTCCTGTAGAATATACAGCATCAGAATGAGTCGACATATTTTTATATACATATGTATATGTATGTTAATTGAAAATATGTGTAGCAAAATATCTCTGCATTTCTTCTAATCGCAATTTTTGTATTATAAATACATATTTCGTTTTGAGATATTTGATTATATTACATAACACTGAATGATCGCCGGAACAGGTTTGCCATTAATTACAGAAGAGAAAAAATACCCGTTTTTTCTGTTTGATTATTTACTTTAACCTTGGGTAGAGTATAATTAATTTTGTCAGTCGGTTTGCAACGAAGCTTATCTTTAATTCACAATGAATGCATTCACAGTTCTATTCTTATATGCTACATGTTTGATTGTTTTGCAGATTATTTGCTTGTTACAAAAGGGTCGACGATTTTATTTTATTTTATTTTATTTTTTTTCAGATAGTATATAAAGCTTAAAAATTCAGGTATTTAAAAATAAATAAAACTAATCTAGTTAAAAATTCTGAAGAGCTCTATACAACATAGAACATAAAAATATTTTAAAGCTGTTATATATGCTTTTATAAAAGTTCTAAGATTTCCCTATGTTAATTTTTAGAACATGTAAATTTCCCAAAAAATCTCAAAGAGAAATTCAGAGGAAATTTTTTAGAGCATTTAATCTACGTTGTTTGACAAATAGCTAAAAAGTAGTTGCTTGATTCAACAAAAGTTTTATACTAAACAGACAAACAAACTCGTTTCTGGCATCAAGCATAGATCAATAAAATAAAATAAATACAGGTGGACATATATTGTGGCATTGGCAAAGATCAAGAGTAGGGAGAGGCAAAACTGGTTTAATGATTGCGCTGGAAATATGTCTATATATATAGACCCACATAGCTACTAATACAAAGTATTTTTGTTAGGAATTTTTAGCGACAAGACGGTCAAGCCTAATAAAGATATTTTATATGTGAACACCTCGTAGCGAATTAGCGCAGGGGGCAATCTATGTGTTTGTCACTGATTTATGAATTGCTTGTGACGCTCAAGCCAATTACTGATAAGAGCTTAAAATCTGATTTAATTGTTAGCAACAAGGCAATTGCATTAAATTTCAATTGTCATGCGCGTGAGACAACAATTTGTTATTTTAAGAACAATAAAAAAAACACTAACCGGGAGTAGGTTGTACGATAATCCAGTCGCGTGGCGGTGCTGTCATGGCGGTCTGATCTGTAGCTGTAGCTCCACCACTAAAGAACTGATTTATATTGTCTTCAAATTCATTCTAAAAGGAAACAATAGTTGTATTTATTCAGAGTTATATTCTTCTTGTATTTTGTTTAATTCCGCTTACCTTGACGAAGCGCAAATTCTGGTCGCGAAAGCTGTCGTTGCCATCTATAAAGGTATTAAGGTTCGACATGATGATGCATTTGTTTTATATACGAATTTTACTTTATTTAATAATATAGAATACTATTTGAATATTATTTTCGATTGTTCTAGTTTTGTGACAGCCAGTTTCTGATTTTGTGTTATTATTTTTGCAAGTTGCTGTCAGGTTGCTAAGCGATAGGTTCGATAACAAAATTAGTGCTGTGAAGTGTTGTCAGGTTATTTATCGATGAACGAGTTGGGTTGCGTATATACCAAAATCCGCTAAAAATAAAATAGCTGACACGAAAATACTTGGTTTGGTAAAAGGTGGTAAAAGTTTAAATTGCTGAGCTGCACATTAAATGTAACAAATATTACTCAAAGTACAAATGCAATGAAGTTTCTGACAAATGTGTGAAAAAATGCTTTTATTTTCAAAATTAATTTTGATGTACGATTGACAGTTATTTAATCAGCTTTAAATTTCAATCTTGTTATCGACTTTTTAATATAAATGTTTATAATATAACAAACAATTAGTACACATATTTTAGCTAATTTTAAATTTTCGAAAATGCCAGCTCTAACTTATAAATAGATATATAGGCAACACTCCGCTAAATTAATCGTTATCGTTTTTTTTATTATTGTTTTCGTCTTGCGAAATAGACCAGCTGTTTTTACAGTAGTACAATCTTTTCTTCACTTTCATGTTTCATGTTTTACAGTTGCGTTAAGCTGAAAGACTCGCACGTGGAGGAGTGCCTAGAGAAAAAGTTAGAAGACAAAACGCGACCATGGGAGACAATACACCCATGGACGAGTTTTGCGGCTCCACATTCTGGGTGAGTGCCAAAAAAGTATATTTATATATATTTTAAACATTTGTTGTATAATTTTCTTTATTTTCTAACAGGATGTCAATGCGACGTGGTGGACAGTTGATCCAGATTTTACGATCTGTTTCGAACAAACTGTCTTAGTGTGGGCACCCTGTGCATTTTTTTGGGCATTTGTTCTCATCGATTTTTGGTATTTGAAAGCAAGTTTGGATAGGAATATACCCTGGAATAAATTGAACATTGGTAAAGTGTTGTTCAATGTGGGCTTAATTATAATCACCGCTCTGGATTTAATTATGGCGTTTGTCAAGAAAGGCGAAGCGGATATACCGATCTATCCTGTTGATATTTGGACTCCTGTTATTAAATTGGCAACCTTTGTAAGAAATATGAACTGCAGTTGAGTTAAATTTCTCTATAACTATCGTTTGCTTCTTGCTTGCAGATAATGCTATTGATTTTTATACCCCTTAATCGGAAATATGGCGTGCAAACATCTGGTTGCCAATTTCTCTTCTGGCTTTTCTTGGTGATCTTCTCCATACCGCGCTGTCGCACCGAGGCGCGAATGCATCAGGAGCGCAGTGATATAATCAACTCACAGAACGCGACGCCACATGACTTCTCCTGGGAAACGTACCAATTTTGCAGCTTCTTCATCTTCTTTACCTTCTCCGTGCTGATGCTGATACTCAATTGCTTCGCCGATCGATTGCCCAGGCAAACGAAATATAAGCGAGGACCAAAAGAGATTCCCGAACTGTCGGCCAGTTTCCTTTCCCGCATCACATACAGCTGGTTCGACAAGATGGCCCTGAAGGGCTATCGCAATCCGTTGGAGGAGAAGGATCTATGGGATTTACGGCCTCAGGATAGCTGTAAGGAGGTGATGCCCACCTTTGCCTATTACTGGAATAAGAATGTGCGCAAGAACTATCGTCGCATGGCTAATGCACAGGAGACGAAAGCACAATTCAGCAATGGCAAAGTCTCCTTTGAGAATCCCCAGAAGAATGGCAAGAAGAAGGGCATGGCTAGCATTATGCCGCCCATATACAAATCGTTTGGTGGAATTTTTCTCTTTGGCTCCTTCTTCAAGCTGATCACCGATGTTCTAACCTTCGCCCAGCCGCAGGTGCTGAGTTTGATCATTGGCTATGTGGAGGACTATCAGACGAATCCACAACCAGAATGGAAGGGCATTATGTATTCGATTCTACTTTTTGTGCTAGCCAGCGCACAGACATTCATACTCGCTCAATATTTCCATCGCATGTTTATTGTGGGTCTACGCATTCGCACGGCTTTAATCAATTGCATTTATCGGAAAGCTTTGCGCATTTCGAATGCGGCACGTAAATCGTCGACGGTTGGAGAAATTGTGAATCTAATGGCTGTGGATGCTCAACGTTTCATGGATTTGACAACGTATTTGAATATGCTGTGGTCGGCCCCATTGCAAATCGCTTTGGCCCTGTATTTCTTATGGCAGCAGTTGGGTCCATCTGTGCTAGCCGGGCTCGCCGTGATGATCATTATGATACCTCTCAATGGATTCATAGCAAGTCGCATTAAGACCTATCAAATAAGGCAAATGAAGTATAAGGATGAACGTGTTAAGCTAATGAATGAAGTCTTGAGTGGCATAAAGGTTAGTGGAGCTCATCTAAGAGATTATTACGATATCGTGTAATATTTATAATCTGTATTCTTATAGGTGCTCAAGCTTTACGCCTGGGAGCCCAGCTTTGAGAAACAGGTACTGGACATACGTGATAAGGAAATAGCTACACTACGCGCTACGGCTTATCTGAATGCCAGCACATCCTTCCTTTGGTCCTGCGCTCCCTTCTTGGTAAGCTATGGCAAACGATTGGCCACACTTTGAATTCTCTTTGCAGAACTTGACTTGATGGAGTTTAACYGAGGAATCTGTATATCTATCATTTAAAATGTTTGAAAAAAAAAAAAAAACAAAACGAAAAAAAAAAAAATCAAACAAACACAATAAGGTATCCTTGGTGACATTCGCCACTTACGTATTGTCCGACGAGGCGAATCAGCTGAGCGTCTCAAAAGCCCTTGTCAGCATTTCACTGTTCGAAATCATGAGGCTGCCATTGGCCGTAATGCCCATGCTGATGGTAGACATAGTCGAGGTAAAGCCCAAGGATCAACTGGAAATTGGAAATCTATTAATAATAATATATATAATTCGAGAACCATTTACTTCGGCTATGGGCATCTATCAGCACCGCAAGAGTGGGCTCACAAAATACAAGCGAAACCTATAATCCAATATCGTATTACTATAAAATTACTGTATATTCTAGGTATCATTAGTCACATTTGCCACATACGTTCTAATCGATGAGAATAATGTGCTCGATGCGAAAAAAACCTTTGTCTCATTATCATTATTCAACATCCTTCGTTTTCCGCTAACCATGTTGCCCATGCTGATCACCAACTTGGTGCAAGTAAGTTAACCTTATTGCGAATCGACTTCTTTTCCCCATGTACACCTTGATATTACATGTGATTTGACTGATATATATTCAAACGATGATAGTCTGAAAATAATACAATATCAAAAACTACTCAGTCCATTATCGTATAAATATATATATATATGTTTTATTTACATACATATCTAGATGTAATTGGGAAAATATATTGTGCTGTATTGTGATTGTCAATCTTTGTTCAACTATATTATTTACTTTTATAATTATTATTTTTTATTTAGCTACAGCAAACAATGACCTATATTTAATCCTAACTAAACCTAACCTCTCTCGAAAACTAACATAAAAATCTAATTCATTTAACTTTAAATTTATAAATGGTTCAATTGAACGAAGATTTGTATCTTGTTCCTCAACTTTTCGAATTAGATGTTGTTCGCTCTTTCCTGAGAGATACACTTTGTTCAAAGAACAAAGTTAATCAGATACTAAAAAATTCATAAAAATATGTTGAAGGTGGTAAATCAGTTTTCATAATTTGTATTTATTGTTAGCGGTTTTTTAAAGGGCTTTTTAGATATTATTATTCAAGTGTCCTTTACTATGAAAAAATTGTTGACATTTTTAGTGGGGCAATTCATATGCTATTCTATTCTATTTCTAGTTCTATAGCATCTTCATTTAGTTTAAAATTCAATTTACCCTTGCAGAGGGTATTTTTTGAGAGAGAAAGAAATTGTTATTTAATTTATTATCTTCAAAACAATTTTAGTTTTTGTCCGACCTTTTCAAAATCTAATGTAGTCGTATTTGAGGAGTAGAATTTCGCTTTTATTTGGGTGTTTAATAAAACAATCCTATTAAGGCTATAAATATATTTATATATCATCCATAAAATACCCCTAGCTCTGCAAGGGTACCAAAATTCCGGTAACCCGAGTTTGTAGGTCTACTTTCGTAGACAAGAGCTTCTCCCAAAACCTTTCCGTACACCCCATCCACGAAATTACTACTAATAATAGCTGTGTGTTGACTAGTGTTGTATATGGATAAAATAATCTCTAACCGATTTCCTCTTTGCTTAGACGCAAGTTTCTGTAAAACGCATAAACAAATTCCTGAACAGTGAAGAGCTAGACCCAGACAATGTACAACATGATTCCTCAAAGCGTGAGTAGATTTATATTGGCATACAATTATTTATAAACCTTTATATAATTATTATACTAATACTTTTCTTTTATAGCCCATCCCATGACCATTGAGAACGGGCACTTCTCCTGGGGTGACGAGGATGAGTTGACGCTCAAGAATATCAATATGGAGGTGCGTAAACAAAATCTAGTCGCCATAGTTGGCACTGTTGGTTCCGGTAAGTCCTCGGTCATCCAAGCGTTCCTCGGCGAAATGGAAAAGATCTCGGGCACGGTCAACACGGTGGGCAAAATGGCCTATGTGCCACAGCAGGCATGGATCCAGAATGCGACCGTACGTGATAATATATTGTTTGGCAAAGCGTACGATCGCAAGCGCTATAATCAAGTGATCGACGCATGCGCTCTGCGTACGGATATTGAGATCCTTTCTGCTGGCGATCGCACCGAGATCGGTGAGAAGGGCATCAATCTGTCCGGTGGCCAAAAGCAACGCATCTCCTTGGCTCGCGCTGTGTACAGTAATGCGGATCTATATCTACTGGACGATCCGCTGAGCGCTGTGGACTCGCACGTAGGCAAACACATCTTTGAAGAGGTGCTGGGACCGAAGGGCATGTTGGCGAAAAAAACCCGCGTCCTTGTCACCCATGGC